AAAAGTCCCACAGGACCGGGGATCAGTGGCGCTCAGTTCCCTGATCACTTCCTCCAGTGTAGGTGCCAGAGCCCCCCCCTTCTTCTCCTGTTAATCCATCTCCGGAATAAAATACATCCCCCACTAACACTACATACTCACTCTCTCACTCACACTAACACACACCTCCCATTACCCCTCTGTCCCACCAGATTGGGGGAGGGGGCAGGCAGGATGTGAGACCAGCTGGTCATCAGCTCAGACAAAGAAACCTGCTGAATGTGCTCGCATAAAAAAGAATCTCAGATCTCTCACATTGCTATTTCTTCACCAGCTCTGGATCTCTTTCACTTTCCAGGCACTGTGATACACCCCAACCCTGTGTGGGAGGGGAGGGGGGGTTGTGGGATTACAAAAGTAGTTTTTTTCTTGCAACTTGACTTCACTGTTTTTCCTCATGTATGTGGATCTTTACAGTGCGGGTGGGGGGAGGGTAATTACAGCCACAAACTGGGGAAATATTATAGTCTGGCCTGAGACATGAAAACAAAAACATTCACATGATAAATCATACTTTTGATCCATTTAAACTTGGTGAAGAATAGTACCTCTGGCTTCACCAATGCAGGAAAGAGGAGAGCAGAATAGTGAGAAAGAGCTGAGCCAGAGGAACGATGTGGTTTTACCGCAGAGAGGCCAGTGGCAGGTGTAATTTATCTTTGGTCCTAGCCTAGTTCAGCCAGTCGCTGGGGAGAGACAAACCAGGGCTCTCCTGTAGAGTTAACTGGAAACTGAGGGAGGGGAGACGGATTGCAGAACTCAATAGTACACTGTAAGGACACAATGTGAAGAGTATATGTCCTAGATTTTTAAAACCAAACTTCAGTGAGCACCAAACTTTTGGCTTTAAATCTCTCACACTTTAATTAGGGTGGAGCAACATTTATTCTAAATTAGACCAAGCCATTTTTCAATTTTCCATAAGACAATAATAAAGACTTATAAAACAAAAGACACATAAAATAAAACACTTGACAATTCAAGCTTTGGTAAACAATGGTGGACCAATTCACTATAAGCAAGAACTGAGTGAAGGGGCCTAATTTGGGATTCGTCTGACCCGTGGCTGAATATACATTAGGGACTCAAGAGAAAAGCACTTAGATTTTTATCAGAGCATTTATGTGCTCCAAAAGAGATCCAAATGGCAGAAAAGCAGATCCCGGAGGAAGCGTACACAGACGCACTAACGTGTATGAAGCAGGGGGGTCAAAACTGAGGTGCTGAGGGGCATTTTCACGGCCGGGTGAAGCCCTAATCTGCCTTTTAGCCACAGATCTGTGAGCACACACACACACACACACACACCGAGGGGTACTGGTGACAGCTGGGGAATAAAAAGACTGCGCAGTCATCCTTCCTATTTATCATGCATATATACTTCCCTTTTATTTACACAACAAATATCTACCCTTTGCATTTCCCCTTCTCACGCAGTAACCTGACTTCCGTTTGTTAGTGTAACTTTATGGAAAGAACAATCAGTAATTTACAAACTTGCAGATAGCAATTGTCGATTTCCTCACAGCCCATTTATTGGATGCAACAGTTCTCATATTTCTGGTTGTGGCAAGTGTCAAGGCAGGAAATCCGTACTGTAACATATCTAGTGTACCTATTAGGTAATAATACTGGGAACATGCTTAAAACCTGTTTTGCAAAGTCTGATGGGGACACACCCATCAAGGATTTGTTCCCTATTTCAACAAAGGAAAAGCAATGCCAAGAACGAGTAGATACCCTCTACTGTGTACCTGTGTTAGAGCCGTTACTGGTGCTGCTGCCTACTGCACCTGCAACTCACCTGGTTCCTCTTTTCAGCAGGTGTAACTGACCTAACAAATCTCAAAAAGTGATCGTTTGAGTCATGATAAGCTTGCAGACTTAATGTACGTCTGGTCAGGGGCAATGCAGTGCACACAAGAAACACAAAGAGCCATGACATTGGATATGAGGGGGGGAAGAGAGGCAATTGGACTTGTGAATGGACTTCTTTGTAACCTGTCATGGGACTTGAGAATGGCTAAAAAGATAATTCCCTCTTCCTCAACATGATCTTTGGGGAAGGGCTATTTTGTCAAAGCAGCAAAAAGAAATTCAGATTACTTTAGTGCACATTTCCCTGCTGAAAACACAGAATAAGTATAAGGAAATGGGGATTGCGGGGCATGCACTTTTAACCCGACTATCACAATCAATTCTCCAATAACTAACAGAAAGACATTACACGCACAAGAAACAACGGTCTGAGAATTAATTGTTTTTCAATATATAAATAAGTGATCAAGGCTTTTTTCTATTTCTGCTGTGAAGCTTTAAATATCAACAGGTCTCCTTTTTTTAACTACTTTAAAACTCACAAGTGAATGTCTTAACACCAAAACAAAAGACCCATTACAGACTACACTAGATTACTTTTTGTGCCATTAGAAAACAGAGCTGCATTAAGGGCTAAGGATGGATGTATGGGCATGAGGGGAATTCCTGACCAGCTGCCTACTTAACAGGTTCTCTAAACTCATTCCAGTCAGATAAGTCATACTTGATGCTACCATTCACGTACTATAATCACTGCCTGGATAAGAGCTTGCCCTAAAACAGTCATTCTTTTCAACTTTCTTTTCTTTTTTTTTGTTTTACAAACTTACAATCTTCTTGATGTGGCAAATGGAGACATCACTACGCAGAGAGAATAATCTAAGACTGGGTTAGCGTGTGCGGTGGGGGGTGAGTCACAGCAAACTTAAGAAACTGACGTCTAAATCTCCATCTGTTCACTATGTTAAAGCCCTACCGACACGGGCTAGACCTTTACACCCCTAGCTGCACCACACTAAATACCTCTACACCTCACTATTGTTTTACTGTTCATTAATTTAGTACAAGTTCTCAGTTTCCTGTTTAAAATAATTGAATGGCTGTATTGATTATGTCGTATTTTGACTGTTTTCAAACTGTTACTGTACGGATAAATTCACATTAGAGGAACTAACGCAGTCCCGGGACAGTCTGCAGCCCTCCTTTAACGAAGTGACAGTTTGTAAAGGTGTCACCTCTGAGCCGATTATTCTCCATCTAAGACACATACTGTACATGGTGGTGCAGCCAATAAGCCTGCCGCAGTTCATCCTCGTGGTTTCCATTGACAGGCAGACTCATTCACGGATGCACGGGGTGAACATATGAGTAAAAAACGACTGAAGAAAGCCAAAGAGAAGTACACAAACTCATCTCTGACTTGAATACACAAGTGGCTGGGAAGGGGCACACAAATGGATAAACGGCAGACTCTTACTCGCTTATGAGCTCATTATGGTAATGCCATTCATCATACAGTCAGTGCCCTTGTTCGCCAACCCTGTATGGGCCTGACCTCTCACACTGCTCCCTCGCTGAAGCCCCGCTGACTCTGGGGACCAGAGAGGGCCCATATGCTTTGTGTCTGCACGCTACGCATTCACCGCAACCACACGAGACATTCTGTCACCACGCATTTATGTCTCCTGGTTGAAGCCAGCACCACACAGAGAGACTGTCGGTTAACTGCCTGCACTGGAATATTTGGGTGAATCCGTCACTCTGTATTTCAAGGTCCATGAACCGAGTACACTATGGATGTCTGAGGGGTATGAACTAAGAGGAGAAAAACCTGTCTGCAGGTAAGCCCCAATCAGGCCAAAATATTCAGCAACTAATGCGTGTATGTCTTTATGAATAGCTCTCTGTCCATCTGTGCCAAAACAGGGAAGGAAAGAGCCAAGTTTGTGTCCGCAGAGTGGTTGTGCACAAGGGCCATCTTTTATCAAACTAACTCAGAAAAGGGCTGATCTAAAATAAGTACTGCTATGTGTAAAAACTAACACATGTCAAAGGGATTGTTCAAAAAACATCCATGAAAATGAACCAAAAAGTTATATTGTTTATGATTCTCAGAAGGCACAGTAATAGGCGTTACCTCTGTCAACACTTCAGCCTCTGTTGACCTTGACTTGTTAACAATCATCATTAGTGAATGTGCCACTTGTCCTTTACACCGCCGAGCTACAGCCATGAAGTGAGAGACTGACAATGTCTACTTTTGAGAGCTCCCTGCTCCGTCACAATCACAGCCCGAGCCTTGTCACATAATGAACAATGCCTTGAACTGAATAAAACAAGGAGAAAGTCGAACAAGTGCTTTGTCCCAAGGCTCTGGGGTAAAGCTACGGTGGGAATACAGACCGACAACAATCCTGCTCCCCTTAAAATAAACCGTTGCAAAGAGAACTTTTGTCATATGTCGAATAGTGGGAGTGTGGGTGGGGACAGCGTTGCAATTCATTCCACACATGCCTTCCCACACGCATCCAATCCAACTGGCCACTGATGCCAATACTACAGGCTACATGTTGTGTGCCAGCTGTTTTGGTCCGGATTAGTCCCTCTGAACATGAAGCATATCCACACTGTAGCCGGTAAAACACTGCTCTTAACAGACTATAAAGCATCACCCTCATCCAGCCATCTTCACTCTTTATTATCTTGTACTAAAGTTAATTAAGGCTGTAAATATAACTGAAGTATGGAGCTGATTGTGACATTGTTAAAGACACTGTTGACATACTATTCTCCACGTATGTAGTCTGTAATGCATGGCTGAAACAGGAGGCACTTTTTGCATTCATTATCTTACCATCAGAGAGCCTTCCGGGGCAGAATGACCAAACCCATTTCCAAGGAGGTACCTTCCCTGAATAGGAAAGTACCTGCACAGGTGATATCATGCAAGCTATTTTACTGCTTATGTCACCTGGCAGCAACCCGTAGCTTTTCAAATAAGTTAATAAAACACCAACTATATGCAACAGTGCCAGTGTGTAGTGCTGTGAATCTGGCATACCATCCACATTGCACCCACATACAGCCACTTCAGATCAGGGGAATAATACACATTTCTGAGTGTTGTGTGGACCCCTGCATACCTTTGGTAGCTCTTTGAGTTGGTTGGCATCGAGGAGAAGCTCTTCCAGGCTCCGACTGTAGCGGAATACCTCATCGGGGACCGTCTGCAGGTTGCAATGCCGCTTGTCCACCGACTCGACGTGGCGGTTGCAGCGCCACAGGGGGATACACTTCAGCATGTCCGGCCGCCGTGGGGGGATCTGGTTGCCGGTGCTACTGAAATCTCCGCATCGGAGAGTGAAGGTCCGGCGGGAGAGAGGATATTTTAAAAAGGTGGGAGTGGGCTCACTCAATGTCAAATCACTTTACCGTGCTCCCACGACGATCCCCGAGCAGGAGGCCGAAATCCACTTAAGAGACACACACACAAAAATAATCCCCTTCGATTTGTTAGCGATATTCCCAGTTTCCTGTTTTTTCGTTTTCCCCCACTCGGGATTATCAGCCTCGTCCTCGACTCATCCACCCCGGAATTACAAATTAACATAAACAAAACTGAGAACTCCCACTTGGCTGTTTCCTCACTTCTTGCACTCACTTCTTCACAGAGACGGGAGTAGCGTTAGCTCGTTTCCGCCGCCATCCCCCCCTCCCGTATGAGACCGAAGCTCCGCCGCGGCTAGCTCAGAAACACACCGCCGACGACCCAGCCGAGCTCCAACGTCCCAGTCATGAGCGGCGACTTCACTTATAAGTTACATATAAATTACAACCACGACACCAGCTAGCGTGAAACCCCACAGAGCGAGTCAGCAGAGATTAACTGTGGCTGCGCAAAAAAACAAAAAAAGAAAAAGGAGGAGGAGGAGGAGGGAGGAGGTGCTCGTCCTCGCCGGCTGTGTTGTTAGCAGGCTAGTAACCGTTAGCGAGTTAGCTGGCTGAACGCCTTTGTGCCGAGCTGTCCGTTGGCTGACAGTGTCGTAACCAAGGTTACGGAAACACCGGTAGCAACGAAAAGAAACGGTTGTTTCAATGCGACGTGGGTTTTTTGTTTTGTTTTTAAAAACAGAGAGAGAAATGCCAGCAGCGAGAGCAGGAGCTTCGGCAACATCCCTCCCCTTGTTGAGTGGAGGCAGGCCGGGTTTGGCGTGTGGGGGGCTGGGCTGGAGCGGAGGCCAGTGGCGCCTCCACGGTGCAACGTTACTGTGTAGCTCCACCTAGCGGCGGACACCGGTACTACTAGGGCCTTTTTTTTATAAATCTCATACTAGGGAGTTAAACTTTTCTTATCATGCCTTGGGAAATTATTAAATTATGTAGTGATAGATGATTAACAGTTTCAGTGCTGATTTGGGGATTTTGATGGTTACTTTTTTTTGGCTGCATCCTCCAAAATAACAGGACTTTTGCATGTAAGTCAGCACGTGTTAATAGTCTTAAAAAAGGTTTTCCAGGTCCACCTTCAGTGCTAAAAGTGAATCTGCATCTAGGTCATCCGATTTTGATTACTTCGATAACTGCTTTACTGTTTAATGACATGTTAAGCAATCATGTTTCTCATCAAGGTGTTACTCAATATATATTCAAATTTCAGGCGTCCACATAGAAGGTCCCTTAACTTACTGTTTGGTTGTAAGCAGATGACACCAAACTTTAATTATGGTGCTACGGATATAAAAATACTTGGCAATGGTGCATGTTAATTAGTGATGCATCTGACACAAAGTACAAACCCACTGTGAGAAGCAAAAGTTAAAAACAATATGCCTAAAAAATAGACACCGTTCAAAGTCTGAAAGGTTATTACACTGTCAGGTGTTTGATAAACTGTTACTAAAGCTGTAGCATTTGGGATTAACTAATACAATATTGGACATCAACAAGTGCTTCTGTTGCATGTTTTTACTTATGAATCAAAGGCTGTTCTTCAACCAGAACACAAGTATTTACAGATACATCAAAATTAAAGGATTATTCATTCACAACCAACTCATAAAAAAAAAATTGCATCACACTTTTTTGTGGACAAACAATAATAATTTTATTGTAGAAAGAAAAAAAAGAAAAAAACGAGTGTTTACAATGTCCCCGGCAAATTCATGAAAGAAAAAAGGAGCTAAAGCAAGAAAATCTAAACGTTTTACAAGGTCGGATTACAAAAATTTGAAACTTGCACCAAAAAAGGAGTCTTCACAGGTCACAAAGCAAAATCTGACACGTAAATATCTTTAATGACTCCCCCAATGGGGCGTTTAACATTAATATCAACAGTGATTTAAAAAAAAAAAAAGAAAATAAAAACATAATTACAAGTTTCAGAGGCCCGCATTTGCTGCAGTGACTGTGGCTGAAATAATTTGGGCGACAGGTATGGGGGGGGTTGGGGGTTTGGTGCTGGTGAACCATTTCAGACACTTTATGCAGAGAGATCACTGCTGTTGAAACGGTCTTGGTCGTACACCTCTGCAACTACTTTGCGACCTCCGAACCAGCGGTCATTGAGGGCCTGGATGGCTTTGTTCATCTCTGAGGCCATGGAAAACTCTACAAAGATTTTGACAATGATATCTGCATCCTCCTCTTCTCCTTGCTTTTCCTGGTAGATGATGACTCTGTTGACCGAACCGAACTTCCCGCACTCTTCTGTCACCTCACCCTCCAGGTCGTCGTCAATGTCCTCTGGTCCAACCATATTTCGAAGCACCATCACCGTGGACTGGAGAGGAGAGCAAAGTGAGAATTTAATAAGTAAATCTTGTAAATAAAAAGCTTTCTTCAACACAATCGCCCCGATTTTCCAAATCTCACCTCCGATTTTCTAAGCAGTTTCTGCATCACCATATGTCTGGCACTGCTGCCTGAGATGCTCATGTGCTCTTGGTCACTCAACATCTCCTGCCCTGTACCATCCTGCAGCATCTCCTCTTTCTCTTCTTTCCTCTCTTGTTGGTTGGAGCCACCGGCCTGATTAGACAGGACTGGCGGTGATGCGAGCACAGGGTTCACAAGACCAACCTGGGGAAGCACTGGTATGGGAGGACGAACTGGAGTCACACCTTTTAGGGAAAGGCAGACATGCAGTCAGTGGCCCTCAGACATTGCAAACAGACACACTCAAGTAATAACCTACAGAGCAGTTTTAGCTGATAACAAACCATACTCATTACAGGTCAAGTCAAATTGAATATTGATCCTGTTCAAATGCCTGACAAAGGGCTGCAACGTGACACCAAGTTCAGAGTTACCATTTAACCACCAAGATTTCATCTCATGATTTACACACAGTGCATACAATCTTAACAGCCATCAAGTCATCCGGGTGGCGATATATGATTTGATTTTGTGTGACTGGGTCGCCATGGGGATAAGGAAGGGTAGTGGAAAGGTATATGATGGCAATATGAACAGTTTCCCACACACAGACCAGGTATGATGAAGTTGCAACTTTGGGTGTAGCTCTGTGGATGTTCTGACGCAATACTACCTGAACTTATAAAATAAAACAATTTGATCACCAAAAAAAAGGTAATTTGGGCGGCTGTACCAATCAGTAAGACACTGTATTTGTGATCCATACAAATGTGGATCCTCATTTAACAATTTGTACCACAGAAAAACACTTTCAGAGACAAACAGTTTAACAACACCTTCTTCAAAATGTCTCCCATTTACTCACGGACCTGAATTTCATAGCTTAATACTCCCACAAAGGAGGTTATGTTTACACCCAGTCCTGATTGTCAGTCTAGATTTCCATGACACTTTGGTAACATTTGGTGGACAAACAGGTATATAAGATTTACAGTTCTTGGGCCAAAACATTACAGGGGTTTGAAACATTGGGATGATTGTGACTCACTCAGCTTTTGACTCAAATGGAGCAAATTAAGAACCTAAATATACTGGCATATCTGGTGAACTCTTAAAAGGGTATAATAAAGGATAATTGGAGAGGAAAACAGTTTTTTTTATATGTTTGTTACGAGGTCCCTCACAATTAACCTAAAAAATGTATTCATAGAAGTCGTATTCACAGGAAAACACAACAATCAGTAGAAAAGGTATTTGATATCTGTAAAGCTGCTTAAAACAACACAATAAAGCACAATTAAGATTTATTTTACTCCTGCTGTAATAAAAAATGAGCACTCACTCATGTCTTGGTACACACCTGTGATGACCCCTGGTGCCTGGGCAGCCATAACAGCCTGAGGTATTCCCATTTGCTGACTGAGAAGTTGGGGCGCAGCTAACGCCCCCAGGACTGATGCGCCGGCTACAGCCTCCTTAAGAGAGGGGGGCCGAAGACATTAGGTAAGGGAAACACACAGAACACAGCACAAGGCAGCACAGTCAACGATCACACAGCATGGCACAGAGTGAGCTCAACCTCAAGTGAGAATCAAGGTCACAAACGTCATTTCAGTACACATTTACTAACAAAATGATCAACTATTCTTAGTAAGTCAGAAATATACAGCAGTGATATTAAGAAACTTTTCAATTGCACATTCTACAATGAACACAGCTCTCAGGTTATTAATCATTGTGACTGTTCACATTGAAAAAATAGCTGTCATTGTGTTTGTGCCAACTAAGAGAAGACTCTTAGCTTACACACCCAATCAGTGAATGGGAGGAGCTTTTATTACTTACGTTACAATAAAACTATACGAAAGGAAATTAAACATTTAGATTCTTTTTTGTGTTTTGAACACATTAAACTGGATTAAATAAAGATTATGCCCAGAATATTTCAGGGCTGTTAAATTGACACTGTGTCAGGGCAACTACTGTTTTTAGGTGATCCCTACAAAACTGGCCTTCTCCCAGTCACCTCAATAAAAATTATATGCCCATATTATCTGTGCTTTTGGTGTCAATTCTAGCTAGATCTCGGTTATATTTACCTGGAAGGCCATTAAATCCCTTTGGAAGGGATTCATACTTGCCTGGGCCGTTATCTTAGCGGTGGCTGCCGCTGCAGCCACAGCTGCAGCAGGCGGCAGACCACCAGGGGTCGTGGGGGTCAGTAGGGGCATGGGTGGAGTCACTGCTTTGCCCACCCGTAGGTACTGACCCCCCAGGTCAAAGAGGTTCATAGAAGACACAGCGTCCAGGGCTGACTGAGGCTTTTCATACTCTGTAAGCGAATACAATAAGCAGTTAATAGCAGAGCGATGGAAACACAAAGAGCACGAGCGAATGAGGGCCCTCCAGCTCACCAATGAAGCCAAAGCCTCTGTGTCGCCCTGTTGTGGGGTCTCTGGCTAACGTGCAAGACTTGATCCTTCCGAAGGCTTCAAACACACTCTTGATGTCATCGTCTGACAGGTCAGGGTGGACGGACGCCACGTAGATCCGGTTAAAGGCGCGCGCCTCCTCTGCCAGCTGGTCAATGATGGGTTGCGCCTGACCGATGTTACTTGGCCGCCCAACCTATAGCACAGATCATACCAGCAGGTCTACTGAGTAAGGGTTTTGTAGTACCAACCGAGAACGCACTCCCGAAAAACTCTAAATCCCTGCAGTGCTGACTTTCGGCAGCCACCGAGTTCAGTCAAAGCCACTCTCCTCCTACAATCACGATGCTATCCTGTCAAGTACTCTCTAGCTATGCTCAAGGTGCATGTCCATTACTACACATTTGTTTAAATTTTGATAAAAGTGGTTTTGAGATTTGAAAAAGCACTGAAAATTTGCCAATGCCATTCTGTCATTCTTATACTGACCACCAAGTACAAAATACTCAGCTCAAATTCCATCTTTTCAAGACATGACGAGAACACTAAGCTGTGGACAATGCCTAAATCCTTTGGAGTTCACTTACACTTTTTAGATTTCTCCCGTTTTAAATTACCATAAATTCAAAACTGTGACTGTGAAACAAACAGCGTCTCTTAATCTAATCTAATCACTGCACTAACAAATAGATTCTTCATGAGTTATATAGATATGAAAACATAAATATATAATATATAAAAAAAGACAAATTGCCATTCTTGTTACATGAGTAAAAAGCAATACTTTCCATTGATGTAGTACCAAATATGACTTAATCTACAATGCAAATACAATGCCGATTTGGAAATAACTGCAATACCACCAAACAAGGAAGTTCAGCTTTACTTCAAAACACCAGATTCATGCAGTGTGACTAGCTGAGCTGGTGGCAACACCGAAAGGGGAACGCATTAAATGTCTCATACTACGGCTACGCACTGACAACCTCCTCTCTTTTGCAAAGGTACCCTAAGTAAGACGAGCATCTAAATGGGACTGGAATCTGTACTACAGATGGGGCGGCCAAGCAACACCAACCAGGCGCAGCCCATCATCAGCACATCATGGACACAGAGCGACGCCACGCGCCGTTGGGCATCCTACTGGAACTGGTCACTAAAATAGCTTTGATGACATCATGGAAGCATAACACACAACACAGGCAGACAGAACACTAAACACACAACCAATCATACACAACTCACGCACCTGGAAATTAACAGACACAGACAAGCAAAGAGAGAGAGAGATTAGTCGCATATGAGCAATTTCACAATTCACTTAAGTATCACAAAAGCAGTTAACAAATTTACTCATTATTCCAAATGCCAGGAAGGAAGGAATCCAAATCCGAATCCGTTTAATCAAACCACACAGAAAATATAGAGAAAAGGAGATATGTTGTTTCCTTTAATCCATGTGTTCCTAAGACCTTGAGATACCCATCTCAAGACAACCTACCTTAATGTTTCGCCCCCCCAACATGACTGAGTTCATCTGCTCCAGAGCCAGCTGAGCAGCCTCTGGCACATCATACTCCACAAAGGCAAACCCCTGCACAGTCACACAAAATGGAAGAACAGAACATAAACAAACATTGAGGACTTTTAATAATTTAAACCAAGCTGGAACAGCAAAATTTGAACCCAACCCTTGTTAAATGATACTGACCTTGTGTTTCATTGTAACTGAATCCCAAGACATGTCAATGCTCTTGATTGGACCAAAGGGGGCAAAGGCCTGTCTGATGGTGTCCTCACCAAGCTCATAGTATATGGAGCCCACATACACCCGGCACATGATGGCTAGAGCACGTTGCCGCTGAGCTGCCACCTGCCAACCGGGGAAAACACATGATAAGCATTAGAGAGTAAAAGAAAGGAAGACAAACAGACACACACACACACAGTAATAATAAATGTGTAATTTCTACTGTGCTTGCTTTCCCCAAAAATAGTTAAGAGGCCAATTCCAAGTAAGGGGTGTGGACAGATAAATAGGGTAATAATGGGATACTGTAATTAATGGACAGAACTTTGTGAAATAATGCTAACATGTATAACAGTTATAAGATACTGATGTCACCTCTTGTATTTACAATATGGCCTCTATTCTGTTACTACTGAACAGACATATGGAGGAAAACACACTGAAGTGATTGACATGCACAGCCCTCACAAATATTTGGCTTCAGTAACTGACCTGTAGTCCGGGGATGCAAGTAAGGTAACAAAAGTAATCGTGGAGTTCAAACGAAATCCATACAAAGTCTTGATGAAAGCATTTCAAACTTTCTTCTCAAGTCTAAAGGGGAGGGATGGATTAACCACCAAAAGTTGCTGTGTTTCACGGATGCCTTTAAGTTAGTCTGTTTCTGCTAATTTAATTATCCTAACAACAAAATACAACATGTGCCTAATTCATGACATAATGGAAAGTTGATTTGTTCATTGACAAACAAAAACTTGACTTTGAGATGGCCAAAAGATCCCTGTTCCAGCAGTTCTCTCATTTTGGTCCATTAAAGGGATTGCTATCCCTCTTTCGTCCCATGCCAAGAACTTTCTGTTTTTAAAATTGTGTAAATGCATATTTTTCAAAGAAAAGTGATTTTACTCACATTTATAAACCCCTTAAAAAGCCTATTAACAGTCAAAGAGCTTCGACTACCTTCTTGTTAAAAATACTAAGGCAAATTATTCCATTGCGACTCAAGAAAGCAAATTAGTGCTTCAACGATTAACATTCATCTCACAAAAGGATTACGGACATGGTCGCAGGTACACTAGCAGTAGAAAGCCATGTATTGTTACAAAATATGCATTCTTTAGTTAGATAGAAAGGCAGGGATTGTTGCCAAAGCAACCAGTAAAAGAAGGGTAACAGTCCTTTTCCATTGGGAAATGCGCACAGAAAAAAAATTTAATAATCTATTGACCGATTGTAAAGGTGAGAGAGGATCTCCAAAGCCCATTGTCACTGCTGCCATCTGAAAGACAGTAAAGATGAAAAAAGTGCTGAAAAGTAGGTTAGATATCCCTTAGCTTTGCTTTTTCAAAATTGTCATTGCTTTGCTAGATAGACAAAAGCGGTTAGGCTAACACTATATTCAGACACTCCCTCTAAACAACATACAGTTTGGGGAGTTGTCTCCCCTATCTAAATTACAAATTACCACACAGCAATAAACATTAACAAGTCCCCTTTAAAAATGCAAAGCATTCAACATGATAACCAATTCTTTCATGACGATCTTCTCCATCTGAAAAAGAGCAGAGGCAAAAGCAAGGGCACACATGGTCTACACATGTGGTCTTTTTCACAGCATGGTGGAGACGGGAGTAAGACTTCCAAGAGAGCTTTACCAAAAACAGACACCTGAGTCAAGAGATGTCTGAGTTACTAATGCATGAAAAAGGCTAAAATATTCTGTCTAGAATCAAGACTCACAGGCGAAACACACATTACAAACTTTTTGTTTGGCAGAGCACCAAAACTTTTTACACATCTCACCTGCAGGTTGGTGAGCTGTTGCTGCTGATGGGCGATGGTCTGCTTCACCAACACACTCTTAATGCTTTGTTCCATGGCATACTTCTTAGCCTGGCAAATAAGTAAAGTCATTACCTCTAAATTACTCATATAAATGGACACTTGTTGTAATATTACTACTTAGACTGCATTTTGAAAAGGTACTGTATCAGTACAGTTACATACACAAAGGAAACAAGGTTAACCAGAGGAATCAGATTATGCAGGAAATTGGGCCCTGTGTTTACATGGACTGTAGTAACCCACGTATAAATACAGCAAGTCAATATTACAGAACTTATTATGCCTGCATTCTTTGTCATGCACATGCATACAAGTACAAATATAATTAAACACCTTGTTACACATACACAGGCCCAACAAAAACTGTCTTTTCTCCAGAAGAAATTAGGTTTCTTCAATCACCTACCCCATTTATGGGAGCCAGGTTTCTTGTATAGATGACATTTAAGGAAACCAAGTTACCACAGGTCACAACCACATGTACATATTTACTTTAACTATACAACTTACACCTGTAACTACATTGACAAAGAGGGTACATTTAGGCAGATACTGTATATCAGGGGTTTTCCTACCCTCTGAAGTGCCTCCTGCTGCTCTGGGGTGAGAGGCGGAAGGCCAAGCTTGGAGCCTGTGCCCTGTCCATTCTCCATCGTCAGAGCTTCACCTCCCTGCAATTCAAAAACAGCTATTTATAAAACATAAAAAAAAAAAACAATAAACTGATAATCAAAGAGCCTGGAGCATAAACACCTGCCTGTATGTACACCCATTAACTACATCTCCCCAGTAAGAAGTAATTTCCTGCATTGCAATCAGAAGTCACATCACCTCATACAGCACAGGTTTATAAATTAAATATACCAGCATGTACAGGACTTATATATACACCCGGATTTAAACCAGGTGGGACCGGACGAGCTCCTTACCTACGCAACCCGCTAATCGCTGGGTCCACCAGACTGAGGCAGGAAAGCCCCCAAGGGGAAGAGGACTGATGGGGGGGGGAGCTTTAACAATTCAACAAATTCTAGGGGAAATAAAAAATGCCTTCAGACTAACGTTAACAATAAGAGAAACAGGCATTACATTGTAGTGTAACGTTACACACAGCCAGTCCGTCTCAGGCAGCTAACGTTAGCGCGTTGCACATAAAGGCTAATAATAACGCTACAACGGAACATAATATAAGTAACACAGCAATAACTTGATATTAATATTGACTAAAGCCTATCTTTATTACATCCTAAATGATCGTAAATATTACCCTCCCAAAAAAAAAAAGAAAAAGAAAGCACTACAGAATAATCTAGGCCTGGTTTCTATTTAGCTGCTAGCCGACGTTAGCTCAACGTTAGGCATTCATTACTCACAGCGCGGGAAGTAAACTGTTTGTTTATTTTAAAATAAAAAACCCCTCCAGAGAGATATATCGTCGATTCACTACGATATTTCAGTGCAGCTACATTCTACCAAACACGCCGCATTACTTACGCAACGAGCGCTGCACCGTAAAACAACGTGTCTCAGTATGAAGGGATATATTTACCGCAGTCTCCGTAACCGCCATGAAGCACACCTTCTTGGAGAGGCCCGCACACCACAACTCTCGCGAGATTTCCCCCCCGTCCTTTCCACGTATTCAATGGAAGGTATCGCGATGGTTGAAATCTCGTGATAGTACAGGGAGGATTAGGGCGTTTTTGAACGAAGCGTTTCTAAAACGTTCAAATATGTTAAATGCACGTCTCATCCATTAATTTTATAACGATTTAAAGTGTTATAAATGATGTTATGAGCCATCAGATTCCGTGACCTGATTATTGATTTCAGATTAGGGATTTATTGATCAAATACTGTGTTCCTAGGGTACTGTAGATTATGACCTGCAGAGGAGGAGGAAGTGACCCAAAAGCTGGGACAATAATCAATAAATGTTGTTGTAATTGTAGAAATTGGCTGCTAGTGATGTTCCTTACCATAAGAGCACTAACACCCTTTAATCAATATTTTGGTCAGTCTATCAATTTAATAAGAGAATTTCTCGACCAAGATTGCAGCTAAACTACTTTATTGCTTGTAACAGACTGAATCAATTAATTTAAAAGTAAATAAATAAAATAAAACACTTTTTGTGTTTCCTGTTCCTGTTAGTAGCCTGTGACTTTAATTAGAAGTTGTCATTTTAAATTGGCTTCAGGCTGATAACCTTTGACTCAAATGGTCCAAAACTACATTTTGTTTTTCTCCTAATAAGTCCCTGTTACTTGTAGATGGATACTCTTTTCTAATACCTACTCTAATTTATTTAGCATGTGCACTAACTTAAAAAAAGAAAACCTCAAAATCCACTGTTCCCTTCATTAAACCGGTTTAATTTGGCAATAGTGAATATAGCTTTTACATTATTACCTGAAGGACATTAGTAAGAGTTGTATCACCAAGAAATTGAAGATGCCTACTAAATAAAAAAATTATAATACTCTCTTGCTAACTGAATTCATTTCTAAATACAAACTGGAACATGTCTCAGAGTAGTAATAACATAAATAAATAAGTTGTAATAATTTCAGACATAACCAACATGTCACATATTGTTTATTGTCATGTATTTAATTGCATTAGCTACAATATTTAACAAAGGTTTAAAGTAGAACACATCCAAAGGCAAGTTTCATTCAACAGATTCACGGGAAGAAAAGTAATTTGACATAAAGTAAGACTGATATGGATGTTGTGTTTTCATGTTTGCGCAGTCTAAAACATTCATTTTCTTGGTCAGGTCCCCATCTGGAACTGAACTGTGACTGACAAAGGCAAAATGCAAAGTCTTGAATGGGTGCAGGCTATTAAGACATGCAGCTTATTAGATCAAATGAGAGCAATAGTGGCACTGCTTTGCAATGAAATTCTGTCTAAGAAAGTAAACCCTTTTAATAACCACAAACAAACATGTACACCACAGCCTCTGGTAGGTGAACGTCTGGGCTCCTTGTCGTCAGAGACACTGATAAGAAGGCTTGACACAGAGTAGAGTAAGTAAGTACTGTAAGCAATGACTGTACAGCAGTGTAACTGTTATGAAACCGCGACCTTACAGACCCCGGGAAACAAATGAAGCAGAGCTAAGTTAGTCCGACAAACAAGAGTATACTGCTGAAGACCGATCAGACAATTCACTATTGTTTTTTTTTTTTGTTTTCTTGCTGTCCAGTTTTGTTAAGGAAAAATCCACCCAAATGGCAGCCTTTTAGTGTGCCAAGAATGGGCAAGAAAACCTGGCAGAGCTGAAGGCATGTCTTCTATTTTTGTGTTTGTGTGGGCTGCAATCAGCTCCAAAGTTCACACTGATATTGTCTGAAATAAAACCCAGAGTGGATGTGATACTGGGAAATGAATGTGTTAAAAGCAAAGTATTCCACTCTTCTATCAGAGATTTCTTTAATCGCCTGCAGCTCATGGAAACCTCCATAGGTTAGCACTATTTTTGACAACTAAAACCATACATTCTTCAAAGTTTTGGGCAGATTTTTCCTTTACAACACTACACATTTACAAAAAAAAGTGTTCTCGTCACATGGTTTGGGAAGTACCGCAAAAAATAAGCACAGCAATAATATTCATCAACAATATGGCAATTTTTATTAACAAGTCTTAAGTCACTAACATCCTTCCTCCCATTTATATAGGACTATGATTTTACTTCACACACTTCCAGTTATATATTCCAATTTTTGTACACAAGCTGCGTCTCTTTTCAAACTAATATTGACTGCAGCAAAGAGCATTACCGCCTGAACCATATGTCCAATATAAAGTGGCTGCAGCTCTTAATGGAGCTGCCATTACTGTTAAGTTCATCTTCACATTCACACAGGCTGACTCTGTGGACTCACGACAAGAGATGGCAAACTAGTCCGAATCATTTAATCTGATTTTAAAACTGTAAAAAGCAGCCTAAATAAATCCAAATTGCTAAATTGGGTACAATGCTGTTTCCTTGGGAAATTTTGTCAGATTTTGTGCATTGCCATATCAGGCACTTTCCAAGTCTTTGGATATCAGAACACTTTACAGGGAAAACCCTTAAGAGCACTACAGGCTAAAAGGGAGGCATCATCTCGTTGCTCGTCACTACATTTAGGCATGGCGTGATTAACTCTGGGGAGAAGTAGCCTTTAACCCAAGAGTGCAGTGAGGCGTGTTTAACTTTGCAGGTCATAAAAAGTAAAGCCAAAAAAAAGAAAGAAAAAAATAAACAGACTTGTGCAAAGCTTCTATTGTTCACAGTTAAACAGAAATAAATAAGTCAACTGAATGAGTATTAACAGTGCATGTTGGACGGAATATTAAATTCCTAAAACGGTAATAAACTGAAGGTTCTGGCTTGCAAGGGAGAGAGTTTTACTAAATTATTTTTTTTACAATTCAAAGTGAATAATCACCAATCAAAGTGGACACTGGAGTGAAAACGAGACTTTTTGAGCAATAAAACGTCCTTCTGAAAACATAGCTGCTGCATTTGTAAGTAAAACATAGCCGTTCTGAATAGTGGCATTATGGAAAAACCTAAGCTGTCAAGATATCTTAAGGCATGATAGCCCTTTTAGGCAGGGAGTTTGTCAATCTTCCACTGCTTTGTGGGATTGCTGAACACAGCCGTGATGCCTCTGGCCCTCCAACCAGAGGTGCCTTCAGTTCCATTCTCAGCGCTGGCATTTCCTGCTTCTCTCCAGGGTGATTTACTGACTGTCAAGGCCCAGCTTTCTTCTGTATTTGTCCCTGTTTTATCCCCAGCTGGGTCAGCTCCCATTGCTCTCTCAGTACCAGGCTATGTGATCCTGCCTGCTGCCCTCTCCCTTTCTTGATCCATGTGGTCAACACCCGGGGCCCCTCTGTCTGGGCCAGCCGCTGTCGTGACCCGTCCTCACTGTGTGCTCCCGGAAGCGAGTGCTCTGACCCGGTGTCGGCTGATGGCGTCCTCCAGAAACCCTGCTACCTTCTCACTGTCCTCCTACACAACACACATGACATTTGTAAGACTAGATATGAAATCCCAGTACTTCTAAAAATCATATTAAGGACATTTAAGCATTGTTGTTGATCAAGAACACAAATAAAGACAATTTTTTTACCTCATTTATGAAGGCGTAGTGAACAAGTTCACTGGCAAGGTCTTTGGAGGTGTCAGCTGAAAGTTTTCACATGAAATATTTCAGTTACAAAAAACACAAAAGTGTGATTTTTTAAAGCATAAATTAGGTGATTTTTTTCTATTTTTCTTATTGTCAACAAATGCCATAAAAAGACCAAAGCCAACAATAAATTCATCCAGCTAACAAGTGTGTCCAAACCTGATATACTGTAGCTTATTCCTCTTTGCCATAGAACTCTATTTTTGTCCAGAAACTATTAAAAACACACCAATAAAGCACAGCTTTGCATTGGGTGACATGTGCCTTGTTTCCCATAAAAGTGGGCACTGTGGTTTAATTTTGAGTCAATTGAACACACACCGTCCTGCTGCCGTAAATAACCACATGCACAACAACAATTAGCCGCTAAAAATAGTCACAACAAACACACTATTTACTCCTGTTTGAGCAATGTTTGCTAAAAACTACTATTAGTGTCTGCTTTTGGTCTTTTTATGGAATTTGTAGACAGTAAGGAAAATACAGAACAATACAGGCTTTATCAATACTTACTTGGAAGGATGTCACAGCTAAGCTGCCTATGAAGTTTGTCATCCATCTTCAGAAACAATGAGAGCTAGGGAGAGATTAAAAGTCCAATTGAAATCAAGCTGGATTCATGTTTAACCACAATAACTCTGAACTGACTGAAAATAAATGTTGTATTCCACTGTTACTACAAGCCCAACAGAAGAGTTCATACTAAAATGGACAAAGTACCTGTAATACTATGTGACTCACATGAGTTTTGGTCCCTTCATCATTTGACTCCAGATTACAGTGCATCTGAACAACCTACAACACCAAGAGACAAAATAACAGGCAGAGAGTATTAAGCAAACAACAAACAATCTTTAATATGCTTTGAGTGATAATAATGATAATAATAACATGTACACAAACACACACATGTCCTATTAAAGCAACAACAATAACAAAAACGTAGGGGCATTAAATTATGCTAAATCCTGCTAAACAACATAGACATGCAGCCAGATTGTGTATCCAACGTCTGAAACACTAACCTTCCTGGTTTCTGTCTCCTGGGGTTCGGGAGTTGGCGTCTTGACCGTCTCAACCTGCTCCTGAGACAAGGAGAGGGCTCGGGGGACAGGGTGAGGCCGAGACGAGGCGAAGTTCATTAAGGGGTAAATTCCATTCCTGGAGAGAGGAAAGGGATGTTGAACTTCATGCTGCAGCCAAAGAGTAATCACAGATACAAAATGAGTCGTATAGTTCCACTCACTTGACATCCTCCAGAAACTTGTCAAGTTCCAATGGGGAGACATGGGAATATCTAGAGAACATGGGGAAACCAAGAGACGAGGACAGTGAGTGTTGTGTTTGACATCTTATAGGACATTCAGCAAAAATATGAGGTGCTTGTGTGTGACTTTACTTGAGCTGAACTCCCTGTCTGTCTTCATGTTTAATCTCTGCCAT